TCCACAAAGTTTTGAAGTACCCTTTTATAAGGGTGAAATCACATTAATAATGCTGGCTATAATAAGATTATTTTCAATTACTCCAAAAAGAACCTTTAGTCTGTACATAATCTTAGTAATGTTTAGTGCAGTTCAGCAAACTTCTGGTCTTGGAGAAAGAGAGGGAGAGGTGAATAAACACTACCGAGGCTGTCTAACTGCATTGGGGGAACTACTTCTGTCTTGGCAGCACCATTTGGGCATTGCGTAAAAAGGAAAAATCTTTCCTGAGTGAGCATGCTGTTCAAAGACATAATTTCCTGGGTCATCTGAGGCAGTAGGGAAATAGCAGCAACTCTTTAGTGAAAGACATAGATGCAGTCTGACTCCCCGTCTGCAGAGCCCACTGTTGATGATTTCCACCTCTGAATAGCCATTTTGCCCCTTTGGCTGCCTCGAAGCTCTCCTGGGCCCAATTTCCCAGCTCGCAGTTTGAGAAATATTGATGAGGATAGTTTATAGAAGATTTTGATGTGATGACCCTGGGATCTGCTGTGTTCCTTTAAAAGATAAAATACTTTAGATTTTCTATACTTTTATATAGTAGGGTATGATACCTTTGTCATTATCAGGCTTGTGGAGCTATTTCCAAAGTGTTTCCATTTAGTACAGGACTGAGAATGGTTCCATACTGATATTTGCAGAGCCACATTATGGTCAGATCTTGTTTGGGTTTGTAAACCTGCCAAAGTTATAACTTCATTCAGTGACATTTATTGAATACCAATGACGTGCCAGGCACAAGGTGTAACTGAACAGACAAAAAACTATCTGCCTCTGTGGGACATGCTAACTATCACATTCAAGCAAACCATCTGAATTGTAGCTTTGGAGCAATTCCAGACCTAAAAGAGTCCAAAGGTTAATGTCAGAAGCTGTGAATGTGTTAGGCCTTCAGTAACCCCGCCCACTTGCCCTTTCCTTCTTTATTTGGCTGCTGGCCAGTACAGGGAATGAACCCCATCTGCCTTTTGAAGCAATACTTCCTTGATTGCCTTGTCACTTTGTCCTTTGTTATGTTCATATTGATCAAACATCATTGTCAGAGTAGAAAGTTTTCTTAGGCACCCATCTTTGCAATTTTCTCATCTCCATTTACCATTTGTTAGGCAGGGTTTGTCAGATTGTCAAGGAAATTTTTCAAGGTAAAGGGAAGCAAGTTTCCACTGGGGGAGGAAGATAGACATTAGTCTGTCCATCTAATACATTTCATTCTCTCTCCTTTATTTAGAGACAAGACATGGAATTACGATTTAGGAGGAAACTCGTTAGCCCACACACATGTGCTCCAAGGAAGAACTGTAATTAAGCCAGACAAGACTAAAGGCAGCTGTATTAGTAAGGATTATTTTGGTTTCAAAGTATACCACATATAAGGAAAACCACCAGTCAACAAGCCCTGTTCATTCACACAGTTTTAATCAGCATTTAGTCCCTTACTCTTTTTTTCAATTTTGTTGTGGTAAGAATGCTTGAAATCTACCTTTGTAACAGATTTTTAAGTGTACAATACAGTATTGTTTTCTCTAATCAGCATTTAGTCCCTTACTCTTTTTTTCAATTTTGTTGTGGTAAGAATGCTTGAAATCGACCTTTGTAACAGATTTTTAAGTGTACAATACAGTATTGTTTTCTATAGGCACAATGTTCAGCAGATCTCTAGAACTTCTTCATCCTGCAAAACTGAAATTTGATACCTGTTGATTGGCAACTCCTCCTTTCTCCCTCCCCCAAGTGCCTGGTAACCAACATTTTACTCTCTGCTTCTATGTGTTTGACTACTTTAGAAGATTTGTAATATAAGTGGAATCATGCAGTATTTGTCCTTCTCTGACTGTGCTAAGCACGTCTGCGCTTATTTCATGTAGCATAATATCCTCCAGTTTCATCCACATTAACCTCCAATCCCGTGTGTGTGTGTGTGTGTGTGTGTGTGTGTAGATAAGAGAATAAATCTGGCTGAAACATTCTGGGAACTAAGTGGGTTGGAGTTCTTAAAATGAATTATGTTGACTGTGAAGTTGGTCATGCTACTTTCATTCAGAGTTCTTGTGGTTTATTCATCTCAGGATGTAAACTTGCAGATTTCTATCAGGATTATGGAGTCATCTAGGCAAAGAGAAAAACCTAAGAGGTTTCCTATTTATTTATGAGTGGAAGTGAAAATATTCCTTAAAATGCCAATTTAGAAAAATTGGGTGCAAAATGAATGCCTATCAATAAGGACAAGGTTAAGTAAATTATGGTAGAGCCATATCATGACATATGTAACCTACAAATTCATGATTTAGACAAACATTTATTACATAGGAAAATGGCCATAATGTATGACTAAGTGAAAAACTGTGGGCTATAAAACAAGTGTAATATGATAGCATTTTTATTAAAAAACAAAAACAAAAACCTCCTCATTGTACAATTTCCATCTCTATAAATATTTCAGTTGTAAGACAAAAGATGTGTTAATAAGATAAACCGGTTGATACAGCTCTTTAAACATAAGACTAAAATGTTGTCTTTTCAAAAAAAGAAAAAATTCCCCATCTGATGCAGCTGTAAGGAAATAGTCTTCAGAGTCATTTCAGTTTTTTTATTTTTTGTTTCTGATCTTTAATCTGCATGGCTCACAGATGCCATAACTATTTGGCCAAATTAGGAAGTGGGGTGTAAGCCCCTATGACACCAAGTTGTCTAGTACCTTCAGTAAGCTATGGAGTACATGCATCTCTGGCATGAACTGAGGAAACTCAAGGACCCTAAAGACAGGAAGTATATGAGATGAAGAGTGAAAGTGAGCAAGTTACAAACATCTTTGTAAAAAACAAACAGCATTTTTGTTTATTCTGGACCTCAGAAGGAATCCTTCTAGTGTAAGTCGTCTTTAAGTATGAAAATGGCTATTGGTTTAAGATTGCTATATATTTGTCATTTTAAAGAAGCGTCCTTATAGTCCTGGTTTTAAAAGTTTTTATTTCAAAGTGCTTATTGAGAGAGAATCTTGAGAGCAGCAATCGTGCCTTCTACATTTTTCATACTCCCAGAAACTAGCTTCATTGGTTGACCAATATGTGTTTGTTGAGTGAATTTTAAAAATTAAAACTAAAAAAATTAAAAGTGCTTATTGGATTAAAAAGCAAAACAAAACAGTTACAGTATATCATGTAGTAATTTTTAAAATCATCCCCTACATTGGGCACTTAGGTGGTTTCAGTTATTCACTATTATAAATAATGCTGGCATGAAAAACCCTGTATATTAATCCAATTGAGAAAATGTACAATGGGGTGATGATGAACAGAATTTAACTACAAAAGGAACTAGGACCCCAGAGTAGAATAAGGACAAAACCCCAGCAAGGAAACAGTGCCATGAGATCAGACCTCATTAGCATTAGAGGCTGGTCAGAAAGGGACTGATGAACAGAATTTAACTACAAAAGGAACTAGGACCCCAGAGTAGAATAAGGACAAAACCCTAGCAAGGAAACAGTGCCATGAGATCAGACCTCATTAGCATTAGAGGCTGGTCAGAAAGGGACAGACTGATTCAGAGCACCCAGCCCAGACATCAAGGCTGAAAATAAACAGGGGAAGAGAGCTTGTTTACTGACAGGAGTAGAGTGGAAGTGCAAAAGGAAATCTGTGAGCATGTTTATAAAGTCACACTGAGTTCTCAAGTAAGTCCAGGACATCATTTCTAATGGATGAATAAAAGCCAATACTCCCCACCCATTGCACTTTCTGTGTGGTATCCTAATAGCATGCAAAAAGGTTGGTGGTAAGAATTTTTAGAAGTTTAAAATTATAGGTTTATAGGAATAGTAAATGCTTTACCTTAACTCTAGGTAGTTTTTGGTGTTATATTTTTTTGACTAATTTAAGATATCATCTCTCAGTTTTAGCCCTTGGCCTGCAACACAATTTTTGAAGTAGCCAGTGATGAAAGAGTTCCATAAACACAGTGGTGGCTGGAGTTGGCTTTTGTGTAGGGTCTCACCTAGTGTGCATGAACTAAATGGAAATTTTTATATTAAATCTGGAAAAGTTTGGATCTTGACTCAAGAGATTATTGACTTTTTCAGTGGAAATATTTTTAAGGTGGGAAAGGACCCAGTCAACAAATCTTTCTTGACTAGACTTGATTTGTTACATTAAAAACAATAATGAACTTGAGAATGGTGAACTGGAGGAAGTCTTAAGATGAGCTTAGCATGAAGAGGAAGAAAAATGAAAGCTGTATAACCACAATACTAGGGAAAAGAACTCTTTAAGGGGGAATGTAAGTAAATCACAGCAGTTATGTATAAAATAAAAAATTAGAAAAACCCAAATATCTAAAAGATAGAATAATAAGTGAATAAATTTAGTACAAATATATAAAGAATTTTTATGTAATCTTTAACATGATATTTTAATGAATGGGAAATTATTTAATGTTATGTTAAAAGGGATAATAATTGCATACACTATACAGTGTGATTTCAAATAGGTAAAGTAAAATATGCATAGAAAAAAATTAAAATATATCAACATATTATCAGTGGTTATTTCTGGAAATTGAATTAAAGATAAGTTTTTTCCTTCTATTTTCCAAGTTTTCAATTTTCTATATTGCATATATATTATATTGACAATTGGAGAAGAAAGTTTTGTTTTTTCCTTTCTTTTTAACCTCTTTCTAACCCAGCAGTATATTAAAATACTTTTTTTTTTAGATCTCCCTATAAATTTCCTGGCTTCTACTATTCAGTGAACGAATTCTAGAAAAATGATGAGCTCTCCCAAAGCTAGCATTAAAATGGTTGTCTCTGGGTCAGAGACTTTTCATCTATGTCATTCACTTACTAACCATGATCTATACCTGAATTTATTTCTGTTTTCTAAAAGTGGATGAACACATTAGACTGTAGTGAATGTTTACCTTGAAGTAAAGAGTCAATAAACATGCCTTTATTTCATCATTATTTCACATATTTAATAGAATACGCTGAATTAGAAGCCAAATATATTCCAACTGTGACAACTAAAAATAGGTATAATATTTTCCTTCTTTGTCTTTAGGTGCTTGGCAAACTTTACCAATAATCTTTCATTACTTTGGATTAATTTATAGATAGCATTAATACCAATAATAGAAGTTACAGACTAATACACATTTTTTTTTGTACACATCTTAAATTGTGACACGATCTTGGGTTTCTTCTCCGTTCTTCAGACATCAGGAGAAAGAGGTTCCTTCTCAATGGAAAATTGTATTTGTCTCATCCTAGAGTAAAAAATACATGGGAACAAACAAGGAAATGTTTTACATTGGACATGCTCTTTAATGCCAACCCCATTTAAATCTAAATTTGACCTAATATGCCCAGAAGAACTTCATTTGGTAGCGCAGAATGGAAGAACCAAACCCATGTGATCCCAGTAACTGGAAACACCACCACTTAGTCTTCTAGATCCTTGCTACTAGAGCATAGTTTCCAGATTAGTAGCATTAGCATCACCTGGGAGCTGGTTAGAAATGCAGAAGCTCAGATCCCACCCCAGACCTACTGTATCAGAATCTGAATTTTAGTTAGATACCCATGTGATCTGTAGGCACATTCAAGTTTAGCACTGGGCTATACAACATTTTTTGGTTTATTATATGGCACAGAATAGGAAGGAAATGATAAAAACAAATGAATAAAATTTGTGTGATAAAAGCAGAAGATGCTTCACATCACTAACGAAAATATGCTTTTTAACTACAATTGGATCACGATTCTAAATTTAGACTTTAAACGATGTGTATTAGATGTTGGAAGAGTCACAGCTACCATGATCATGTTGCTCATGAGAAAGAGAAAAAAAGCACAAGTGAATTGAAAAAAAAAATGACTGTGAGTTTCAATTATCTGACTGGAGCATATCTTTTAGGAGAAGTTACTGGAAATCTCCTTGTAATCCTCGGAAAGCCTCTCTGAAAGTGTTAGTCCCAAGGCTACCATGATCATGTTGCTCATGAGAAAGAGAAAAAAAGCACAAGTGAATTGAAAAAAAAATGACTGTGAGTTTCAATTATCTGACTGGAGCATATCTTTTAGGAGAAGTTACTGGAAATCTCCTTGTAATCCTCGGAGAGCCTCTCTGAAAGTGTTAGTCCCAAGATATATATAAAATATATGTAGCTTTTCATCATCCATATACTGAAGATAGTAGGTTCCCTTGCTTTTTCCTCTATTGTTTGCATTCTGTTTAATTAAGCAGCTTCAAGCGGGGAAAACCATATATGTTTGAAGAGGGGGGAGATGTATGTGGGTTAGCAGCAAGAAGATTCTGAACAAAAAGTAGGCATTCAACATACACTTTCTGATTCATTCATTCATTGGTCATTCTCATGACAAACAGCAAGGGAGCACCTACTATGCCAGGCACCATGCTAAGTGCCACATACACAGTGATGAGTGAAAGAGACATGGTCCCTGCCTTTGTGGAGCTTTTGATGTATGAATTACTACCGACAATTTTTGCAATTTCTCTGTGGATTTTGTTCACTTCAGGTATTTCTGTGCCTAGCATCTTCCTCTTTTATCGATAATGATGTTTAATTCTTAGTTATCAGCCTGATTCTTATAGACTGATCAGTTGTGATTGTATAGTTGGTAGTAGCAGTTCATATCACATGGCAAAAATGCACCTGGCATCTTATAGAGATGAAGAGAAGATATATGTCAATTATAGTTACATGTTATAAAATGCTCACTGTGAGGGCTTGCATGGACTGGGGATTGAGGGCTGGGGGTTGCCAGGAAGGTAGTATGGATGAGTGACAATGAGTGGAAGCCATGAACAAGATTCTCCTAAAATGTATGGATGAAAGTAATGTGATTGTGGCCAAAATCAAATACACATTTTTTTTTCATTATATCCTCAGTTGATGAATTGGTTAATTTATTGGACTTGTATTATCTTCAAATAAAGGTAATTTGTTCTTCAATCAGTCTTATAATATGCATTTAGAAAACCATTCATCTTTAAAATAAGTTGCTTTGTGAGTTTTTTTTGAATGATGGATTTACCCACTATAAATGAGACCTGACAAATTGAGTGGAAAGTTGAGGTAAACTTTCCAGTACGTGAGTGGCCCAGACTTGGGCTGAATCAACCATTATTCCGAGACACTGCTACCTTTGTGGATTATGAATGTAGTTGTCCCCCAGATTCCTAACCCTGACTTCCCAATGCCCTGGTATTTGTGCCTCTTTAACCACAGTCCTATTACTGGTTCCAGTCTTGTTGCCCAGTGACTAGATTCTCTGCTACAATGGCCCAGTGGTTCAGGCCATACTCTCAAAAGCCAGATGAGTTCAGGGCATACTCTCAAAAGCCAGATGGACATAGGCTTGTAGTTCTGGCTCTGCTACCTCCTAGACATGGGCTTTTAGATAATGTAATGTCTCTATGCCTCAGTTTTCTTACCTGGAAAATGGCAATTATAATCCTCAACTCATGTGATCACATAGATTGCATAACTGTATAAGCACTTACTGCCATGCCTGGCACATGGTAAACGGTGGCTACTATGACTTTATTAAACCAAGGTCTCCATAACTGTTCCTGTTTGCTACATGAACCCCCTTTAGTTACAAGTTTGTTGTTTTTCTTTAACCATGTATTTCAGTTTCGTAGTGGCTGTATTTTCCCCCACTGAATCCATATCCCAGAGGTTGCCTCCCTGGCCTCATGGGGACCCTCCTCCTTTGTGGCGCTTTTGCTGAGCTCTCATCTCACTCCAGGTTCAATAGGCACCCTAGCTCCTGGATATGCTTTGGCTCACAAAGGCAGCAGCACTGAATCCATATCCCAGAGGTTGCCTCCCTGGCCTCATGGGGACCCTCCTCCTTTGTGGCACTTTTGCTGAGCTCTCATCTCACTCCAGGTTCAATAGGTACCCTAGCTCCTGGATATGCTTTGGCTCACAAAGGCAGCAGTGCCTAGTGGTTGAAAGCATGGAGTCTGGAGACAGGCTGCCTGGGTTCAAATCCCAGCACTTCCACTCACTTCTGGGTGACCTTGGGTAAATTATTCAACCTCTCTGTGCCTCAGTTTCCTTATCTATAAAATGAATTATACCTGTTTCATGTGATTGTTGTAACAATGAGATAGAATGTTATACATTGTTATACATATTAAGAATCTAAAATAAGCAGTACTATATAGCAGCTACATACTATTTGCTATTATAATTCATATTCTGGCTAAGAGTACCCAAGCTTGGCTTTTACCCACTTCTCCCTTTTTAACCAGGATTGTCTCCCAATTGTATACTGGTTTTCAGGACACATGGACCCAGATGCACGTCCCTAGATTATATGGACACTGTGCTTCCATGTCTAGACCTCTGCCTTCCCCACATCCTGCTATAAGTGTTCCTGGCAGATGCTGGCTATTGACAGTGAGGGATGAGTAATACTTTTTTCCAAAGTTTATGTTTGCTGAGGAACAGTACACTGGGCCCCGCCTGCTGGCCTCTTACCTAGAATAGAGTGAAACTAAGGGAGCCACACAAAGTAGTTGCCTTGTTTTTCCTTAATTCACTCTTCTCCCTTTCCTCACTTCCACTGGTAAGCAAAGATCATCCATCTAGAAGAAAGGACAGTGCAGGATTCCTCCTCCCCAGACACTGACTGTGTGCTAGAAAGTCCTCATGTAGATCAAAAGTAAAGAAAAAAGTCACGAGTGTAACTCAGAGTATGAACTCCTATTGTCTCCATAGGGTAAATTGGTTAGTTGAACTGCTACTGTTTGAGTGCCATAATGCCATAATGTGGCTAAACTAAACGTAGCCTGAGAGAAACAAGTTAAAGGAAGGTTGAATTTTGATTGAGAGCTTTAAACAAAGCATATACCACTGGTTTGTAAACTGCACAGTACCCTCAGGGGCCTCAGTGGAAGTCCAGGGTAGCAGGGTCTTACTTCTCAGCCCTCCATGCCTGGAATAGTACTGGGCTTCTGGCAGGAAACTGTTTCTGCTTGGCAGTCCGGGCTTCAAGCCTCTCACAGGGAGATTCCTTTTAATGCTCCAAATCCCTTCCAGGGCCACTGTCAATATTTTCAAAAGCAAGATGATGATTATTAGTATATTCCCTTTTTAGCCTGAAGTGTTTTAAAAATATTTACTTGATTATTTTTCCAATTATTTGGGTGGCAATTTATTTGGTTTAGTTAATCAAGCCACCCAAGGTCTTTAGCCTTTGATTAATCTTTTGTTCCATTCCATTCATTCAATTATTCCCTATGCATTTAAACTTCTATAGTGCTTTTAGATTATTTAACTTGCTCCTAAATAAATAGATAAAAAGTCAGTATAGAAACATACACAACAAAACACAGAAGGATCCAGAATAAATAACATTTAATAAATAGAATTTATTCAGTCAACTTTATCTGAGTCTGATTTAATTCCTAAAGTAAGCAGAAATATTTTCAAAGATAATAGAATCACTAGTTACCACATTAATCTAATACATGAAAGAATCTCCTAAAAGCCATGAACTATATGCTATTTAATATCCCCTTGAAAGAAACAACAAACTCACTGGATCCTACATGTTAAACACCATAGCAAAATATTTAGAAATTGATGTCTGCATATTGGTACATGGAAAATTACAGTTCTTAAATCCTGATACCATTCAATAAGGTTAGTAATGTAGTGATGTGTACTAGGCTATCCTCCATGTCCTAAAATCATGTGTTTAGGTTTTGACAGTCAGTCAATAAGGATTTGGTGAATGTCTACTGTGTAGAAAACTGCAACCCAAGTCATGTAAGATGGTGAATTCAGGTTAGTTGCCGTAGGTTGTTTTTCCCATTCCTGAGGCTGAAAATTGTAATGTTGAATATTCACAGATCCAAGGCTGCCCATTGGCATCTTCTCTGATATTTGATCCTTTCCTAAAGGATCCATACCAAATAATGACTAGGAGCACAGTCTTTGCGCTCAGAGAAGACCTGGGTTTCAGTCTCAGTTCTACCACCTACAACTTACCTGACTTTGGGCAATTTATCTAACTCACTGTGTCTCAATTTCTTCATTTTCAAAATAAGGATAATAATAGTCGCCTGGAAGGATTATGTAGGATTTAGATGACATGGATATAAAGTACTTTGTACTCAGTAAATGGTAGCTATTAGTTTTACAGGGACAATGATTTCACTGCCCAAGCAGGGGCTCAGACTCCACTTCTACAGGTACAGTCTCTAAGCTGAGTCACCAAGCTGAATGTCAGTTCTTCCCTCTCCTGAGTGGGCAGGAAGCTAAAGCTAAAGCTCTCTGACAAGATTAGTTTCTTCCTTTTTCAAAGACCTTCAAGGAAGACTTCACAATCTCCTCTTATCAAGAATTTACAAAGTTGAAGCTGTTACTTGTATCTAACCTAACTCTTCTTCCATTCAGGCCAGTTTCCTCTTTTACCCTCTCTAGAAATTAAAAAAAAAAAGTGCTGCTCCACAGCCTCTGGGTAATGAACTCTCTCACATAGGGGCCTACAAACATTTACTAAATACTCTCAGTGCAGAACACTCTGTAACAGACCAAGGAAATAGATTTAGATTTGTTCCATACTGTAGAAAGACCTGGTAAATGGAAAGTACCATAAAATGAGGAAGCAGGGCCGGCCCGGTGGCGCACTGGATAGTGCGCTGCTTGGGAAGCGCGGAGGCGCTCCCGTCCGAGGGTTCGGATCCCATGAAAAAAAAAAAGTGCTGCTCCACAGCCTCTGGGTAATGAACTCTCTCACATAGGGGCCTACAAACATTTACTAAATACTCTCAGTGCAGAACACTCTGTAACAGACCAAGGAAATAGATTTAGATTTGTTCCATACTGTAGGAAGACCTGGTAAATGGAAAGTACCATAAAATGAGGAAGCAGAACTATGCAGACGAAACATGTCAAATTAGGTAAAAGAATTGTACTAGTCATATTTGGTTGTGCTCTTTCACATGCAATTATAGGAATAGCTAGAAGTTTACAACTTTATAGGGAAAATACCTGAAATATAAATGCAGATGCTCAGAAATGCATTTTTAAAACCTCAAAGCAAAATATAGTTATGTGTAAGCATTTGGTGTATTCAGGGACAGAGGTTGCTGGAAAAAAATAAATCTACTTTCATTTGATATGATGCTTGGGTGAAGAAGTCACAGAAGGTGATATATTCAACTGGAGAAAAAGAGGTCTAGAAAGAAGCACAGACACCCTTTGAGGCAGATGCTTCTTTTAAGAGAAATTTACCCTGCTCAGTCCTGGGCATGTGCATTACAGAAGGAGGAAGGAAGACACAGTGGGGTGCAAGGTCAGAAAGACCTCAGTGTTGCCTAACCCCAAAAGGAGAAGGACAGCAGGCATAGGACAGAAGCTAAGAGGAAGGAATCAAATCTTTTCTCGAGGCTCAGAGTCTTCTAGATTCTCTTCTTCTCCTCTCATGCTCCCAATCTCTTCTACTCAGAGATTTTTTTGAGGTGCCTGAATTTTAAAATTAACAAAACATGGCTATATGCCAAAAATCTTAGCCAGTGGGACCTAGCCTGGTCTCACAGGGAAGGTAAGCTCACCCTTTGAAAATATTTTTGTTCCTTTCAGCTGTCTCTGGACTGTGAATAATGAACATTAGAGCTTGAAAAGCCAGTTTAGAGCTGAATCAACTATACTTTCTTTGTGTAAACATTGTCGGAGATTTGACCAGAGAAGGAGGAAAAATTTAAGTAATTTTAATTTATGTTTGGTGACTCCTAGGCTCTATAACTATCTTGACATGCCTTTGGTGCTTAGGAAATCCTTGTATATTTTAGGTGCATAAAATATTTTCATTGAATAAAATAATGAATAAAAAACATATCCACTCTTGCTTAACAACATTCTGCACTTTCTAAACTTGTACTAAACATAGTAAATAAACCAAACTCAAAATTAAGTTTCCACATATTAAGGGACATATAGACACAAATTAATCGATTTGGCATTGCACTTTTGAAATTCATTGGAAAGAGAAATAGTGTGTAAGGAGGAAGCTAGTAAGCTCCATTAATCAAATTTTTCATGACTACTATAACCTCAGCGGGTTTTAGCCAGAAAAATATGAAAGCTCTGGCAATATGAAAACATTAAATTAATACATTATTTCTGCAAAGTCCCCTATAGAAGTTCTTAGAAATGTAGAAATAACTTTAAAATAAATGGTAAAATAAATATATTAGTTCCATAATGAATGTCTCACAAGCCTAACTTTTTCTTTTTAGGAAGTTGTAAGGAGGGAAAAATCTTCAGGGAATCCCTGAAAATATATGAATGATGACATTAGCTAAATTTTTCCTCATCTACAAAGTTCCATAAGTTGCCCCAAATTTCATTTTCTGATTAGAAGATCTGATCAGAAAATTGGCCACAATAATCAACCACATTGTATATCGACAAAATAAAATTTTTTTTAAAAAAAGAGAGAAAGGAATACTACTGGAGTAAAGACTTGTTGCTTGTAGATTAAAAAAATTATATTAAGATATAAATAAACACATTCCACATTTAAAAAAAAGAAAATTGTCTTTCTTTTCTTTCTTTCCTTTCTTTCTTTCTTTCTTTCTTTCTTTCTTTCTTTCTTTCTTTCTTTCTTTCTTTCTTTCTTTCTTTCTTTCTTTCCTTC